AACAACATCTGAAAGGTTGAAAAATGAAATGAAAATGAAAAAGTTTTTTTTTGCGTTTTTCTATATCTGGGTTTTACAGGGTTAATCTGAATCATACATGTGCTGCTACATTGACATACATACACACACCTACACATCACTTGGCAGGGTTTAGCTAATGACTGGATAATGTGATTGGCTTCTCGTTATAGAATGGAGCTTTTCAATCACAGCAGCCATCAGTTCCTAGCTGAGCTTCAGCTCTTGTCAATAAAACTCTGTGGAAGGCCTGCTTCATCCTCCGTCTGACAATTTCATTATTATAAACATTCAGCTTGCCCTCCTACATCTACATTCTCACGGTTTTAAGACGGAATCTGCTTGGTTAAATATGAGTTTTTAATGTTTTTCTGTATCGTCAGGTTTATGAGGTACTAAAGAGGACGAGATGCACCAGAGCCAAATACTCCATGGGTAAGACCTCTGCCTGTATCTCTTCAAGGGATAAATCAATATCCAATTAATCTGGCTCCTTTTCATGACTTCGCAATGGTGATAGCCATGTTTTCAGGTTGTCCATCCATATGTCCCATTCTTGTGAACACAATATCTCAGGATATACTTGAAGGAATTTCTTAAATTTTGGCACAAGCCTGTACCTGTTTAGCCAATACATCTATGATAATCCTTCATTAATCAAGGCAAAAGTGTATATTCACTGGAATCATACCTGTACCATCAATATAATGATAACCTTCATTTAGCCAAAAAATACACTTTTTATCTTTTTATTAGATCCTTTCCAAGTCTTTACCACATATATTATATAAGTCTGGACAGACATAAATGTAAACAGCAACATGACTGGTTGGTGTAGGAATACAACCGTGTGATTCTGGTTTCATCCAAGTACAGTGTAATTACCATGACAGAAGAGTGCAGAGTTGTGGGATCATCTGCCATCAGGTCAAACCTTAGCTACCTGTAAGCCTCTTTTCTGTCATCTATGCAGTACAGTGTTGACTGAAAGTGACAGCTAACTGGTGAGATTATTCAGCCTTGGCTAAGTTTGACAGTCTCTTGAGAGTTATGTAATTTTCAAAATATAAGAAATATGTTCAGGTTTGTTTGAAGCAGAAAGTGAAACATGAAAATGTTTTAAGAGCAAATAAGCCCAGGCACAGGTGGAAGGAAACCCAGTTAAATCAAAATGTGTGTATTGTTTTACTCTAATAAGTATGCTGCACAGTAAAAGCATGCAAATGAAGTAGTACCACCACCAACAATTTTGGCTTAGCCCTTTAAAATCAAATCCAATCAGACATAATTCAATTATGTTTTCAGCAATAAAGCTGAAAAACTATTAAATTTGAAGGAGCTACCAGCTACTGCATCTGCAGGTGTTGCTATAAGACTCCTGTTACCATGATGAAATAAAAACTTTATTTATATGTCCCTCTGAATGTAATTCTCCAGCAAAACTGTAAAAAAAAGACCATGATGAAGTGTCATGTTTGACCTCTTTGAAAGAGGAAATGTAACATAAATTCTGACTCTCTGGGTGTAATCTTCCTCCAGAGCTCTAAAGCTGAGTTTTATACTGCTCTGTGTGTGTGTGTGTGTGTGTGTGTGTGTGTGTGTGTGTCCTCCTGGATTATAATCCTGCTGAATATGTCTTCTTACAGGGATCACCAGTCTGCTAGCTAATGGTGTCTATACATCTGCTTATCCTCTGCACGATGTGAGTATGACCACAACTCCCTTACTGGTCTCTGAGCAGCTGGGAAATTGCTGTATATTTGCAGCAGAGAGTATTATTCCAATTCAGTGAGTTTCTGATATGAAAATCACCAAAGAACTTGCTACTTACTTTATAATTTATGTAAAACAATCCTTTGTGTGATTAGACTTACTCTCGGGTTTCTGACAAATGGCAACTCATACATTTGTGTTAAATTAAAGGCATTATTTATTATGCATGATGGACAAAGTGTGTTTATTGAAAATGAAAGCAACTGTGTTTCAGGGAGATATCGAAGGGGTGAATGCAGAACCTAATGACAGGAAGGTAAGTAGAGCAAGTCAAATCACAATAAAATGAATGATCTGTCATACAGATACATTTTCTTCAAAGATTCATGTCTAAAAAGCTATTTTTCTTAAAATGGCGTTGCAGGTTAAAGTACAGTAAATTTATGGTATTTCCAACCTATTATCATAATTGTGTCAATTCTGACTGTGTCAGCACTAACTTTCACTCACCCCATGTATTACAGATAAAATAATGAACAGCAGAGCAAACAGTGTGCAGATGAATACTATACCTATAACAGCTAACTCACAGGGGCTTATTTCTGTGTTTACTTTTATTTATTCTATAAAAAATTTAAGTTTATTTTATTATGGGTGACGGGTGTAAGAAAATATTGTAAAATATTGTACAGCCATATTTTGTTTTGTGATATTGTATTGTATTGTATATATTGTATTGATTCTTAAAAACACTGTATTAATCATATTTGCTGGATAGCAGTGTAAGCATAAAGTGAGGGTTACGATGTTGGGTTTCAGGGACTGTGGTAATTACAAATGCAGATTCCATTGTTTTAGTTGCATAAAAAAGTACACTTTTACTTTTACTCAGGTTTTATGCATGATGTGTGATGTGTATACCATTTTCCTAAAATTAGATCTAAAACATTGCAATATATTGATTATTATTATATATATATTATAATCAAATCTCTTAATCAAATAGCAATTATAATTTTCTTAAATTGGATTTTCCATTTGTGTGCACTTGATATATGGGTTTAAATCCGGGACCTTATCTACATCTCTGTCCCATCACTGTAAAATGTTACTTATACACGTTATATCGCATCCCATCAATCAAGTGTTTTTATCAAGAACTTCTCAAATTGAAGGTCTACTGTGTAAGATTTAGTGGTATCTAATGGTGAAGTATCAGATTGTATCTGACTATTTAATCAGTGCTGGCATATGTATTTGGCGACCTGCAAATGAGAATGGGCTGTGAGGTGTCTATAGGAGGAACTACAGTGGCCACAAAATTTGCGAAAACGCATAAGGCCCTATCTAGAGCAAGTGTTTGGTTTGTTTGTTCTGGACTACTGTAGAAATATGGTGGTTCTATGGAAAGCAATCCGCGGCATAACTGGAAAATGTGCTTTTATTTTGAAACTGAAATTGCCAGCTAGTTTAAATTAGCGTTGGAGCTCTTAATACAATATCTATAAGTTATTAAAACATCCCACTCAAATAGCTGTACCAGTAGGGTTTGTTTTAAATTATGAGTAACAAAACATGACAAACTACGATGCTAACAGGATAGCATATCTGCATTTCTGAGCCTTTGAGACTATACAGGAATAAAATTAACTAGGCAATTGGCAAGAAAATAAGAGCTCATGCTGAGCCTGAAGTCATCTCCTCCCCTGCTAACACTTTCCATAATTACACTGTAGGCTGTGTGTCACTAAGGCAACAGCGTAATAATTCCCCCTCTGTTGTTCTCAAGCATCAGAAATGCTTTAGCTTGCTGTTTCAAGTACCTCCACAGCAACATACTTATATATGTCACAATCCCACGTATACATGTTCAAGAAATCGATTCAGCTGTAATAATGAGAGTTGTTTTTTTCGATGTGCTGTGATCTGCCATATGATCTGCCGTTCCTCTGGGCCTGCCTCCTTGTGATTAAAAGTCTGCACTTGTCGCCTTGCAGCTCACTGCGCCGCCTGTGAATGATTGTGTTTGTCAGTGTTTCACAGTGATTTAAGTGCTTTTAGTATGATAGCAGTATAAGGAGCAAAGGACGGACAAAGAGCACAAATGCAGTATTGCATGTTAGTTCTATACATGGCTTACTGAGACAAATCCAAATGTCTGCTGTTAAAAAGGTCTGTGCTAGACCAATGAGAATAGTGGGTCGGGAACCAAAACCATAACCGTTACTTTACAGGAAAATGAAAAAGACCTTTACAATAATTGAACAGTGCTTTGTCAAAGTTATGGTAAATGGCAAATGGACCTGTACTTGTATAACACCTTTCTACTCTTCCGACCACTCAAAGTGCTTTTACACTACACATTCATCCTTTCACACACATTCACTCAATGATGGCTAACCCCATCAAACAGAAACTAACACATTCATGCACACACTGATGCTATGCATCCGGAGCAATTTGGGGTTCAGTATC